GAGCAACAGGTGAAAAAACTTCATTAAAATCAACACCTTCTTCTTGACTGTACCCTTGTGCTACTAAACGTGCTTTGAATCTGTCGATTGTGTTGTCAGCTTTGCGTTTGACCTTGAATATCCACTTGCATCCTACAATATTCTTGTTATCAGGAAGAGGTACTAAGTCCCATGTGTGTGTATCAACAAGAGACGTAAACTCACTATCAGTAGCTTCATGCCATTGCTGACTATATTCACTGTGCCATGCTTGGTAAATGTTGTCTGGTTCATTTACTTCTGATGTCAGTGATTCAGCAAGCTTACAATGATGCGGTAATTCATTTGTGGGACGCAATGCTGATGGACGTTTGGCTGGCAATGAACGAACTTGATGCATAAAAGTCTCCTCATATGTAGCACCCACCTGAGCTGTATTTCCCTCCTGAACCAAATTATCTGTTTTTTCTGACACATCTCTACTCACTGGTGCATCTGAACTTTGATCAGAATTATCCTCAGTCTCATCATCTGCATCATCTTGGTAATTACCGCCACAATAATCAATTGATACAAGATCGTCTGCAGGTTCAACTGGATGAATATTCCTAATATTTTCCATGTCACACAAAAATTTATCTTCATGAAAGATGACATTACGGCTAACAGTTACTGCTAGTGTCTGTGGATCTATCAAACGGTATCCCTTTACATCATCTGAATAGCCGATGAAAACTTTAACTTTAGCTTTCGCATCAATTTTTAAACGTTGCTGCTTTGGAACATGTACAGTGGCAAGACACCCAAAAACATGCAAATGTGACAAATTTGGCTTTTGTCCATGAAAAATCTCATAAGGTGTTCTTCCATTGATATATGAATGAGGTGATCTGTTCTTGAGATACACAGTGGTACTCAAAGCTTCTGCCCAAAACTTCTTAGGTAATTTTGCATGATGCAACATAGCACGCATATCCTCAGATATTGTTCTGTTAAAACGCTCTGCAACTCCATTTTGTTCAGGCGTGTATGGAGCAGAATACTGATGTTGAATGCCTTTCTTTCTGCAAAACTCTTTCAATGCCTCTGAAGAATATTCACCTCCATTATCACTTCTGATAATCTTAACTGACTTTCCTGTTTGTGCCTCTACCATTGCAACAAAACTTGTGAATTTTGTAAACACTTCTCCTTTTGTACGTAGCATGTATACAAAAGCATAACGTGATTTGTCATCAATAAATGTGCAAACATATCTAGACCCTCCAATTGAATCAACTTCAAAAGGTCCCATGACATCACTATGCACTATTTCCAATATTTCTTCTGAATGAGATGAGCTTGATGGAAATGGGTTTCTGTGTTGCTTTCCTTGAGCACAACTTACACAGTGGCTGACTTTCTTGATAGGATTGACACCTTCTGCTACATCTTGTAATTTACTTATACTGTCCTTGCTTATATGACCCATGCGTTGATGCCACAACTGTAGAGAATAATCATCAAGTGGTTTTACCTCTGCAACACAAACACGATTTGGCAGTACTACTTTAACTCCAAAAAGCTGCTCATATTTCTGTCCAACACCTAACACTTTGCCATCTGCAACTATCTTACAAGTTCCTTTGGTAAAAGTCACACTAGCTCCATGCATTGTCATTGAATGCACTGACAAAAGATTATCTGTAAGGTCTGGAACACACAAAACATTCTGGAGGTCTACAAGCATTTCTCCATGTTCAAGCTTTATTTTCTTGATACTGCCTTCACCTACTGCATATATCATATCACCGTTTCCTGCCAATCTTATTTCTTGTGGTTTCTTATAAGCACAATAATCTTGAAGCAAACTTTGGTCAGAAACCATATGCTGGCTTGCCCCAGAGTCAACAATCCAAAATCCATTCATTTTGAAATGATTGCTTGTTGTAGATAAAGCAAATGCAACTCCTTTACTTTGATCCTTTGTAATTCGGGCAACTTGAGCATTAATTTTAGAATATCTTGATTCATATGATGCATTCTTTTCTTTCTTTTGTGGATTTCTACAATCCTTTGCAAAATGCCCCTTTTTCCCACAGGCATAGCACTTTAAATGCCATTTTGGTTTCGGTTTTGGCTTTGTAGCTGAAGCAAAATTAGCAACAACTCGCTGGCTTTCTGTATTGCTATCTGCTAGACGATCAGCCTCATTAAGCAACAGAGCTTTCACATTATTAAAGCTTAAACTGTCCTCTCCAGCGACATCCAACGAAACAATCAGAGATTGATATCTTTCAAAAGGCAAACTGGCTAGAAGTGTCATTGCTAAGTCCTTATCATCTAAAGACTCTCCTAACTCCTTCATTTCATTTTGGAGTTCACACAATTTTCTAATATGGATATGTATATCACCACCATACTGAAACTCCAATTGATAATATTGCTTTCGAAGACGTATCCTTTGCATAAGAGAAACACGTTGGAACTGATCCTTTATGACTTTCCATGCTTCCTTAGCACTTTCCACATTGTCTATGTGTACTTGAAGCTCTGACTCCAAGCTTGTTCCAATAAAATACAATGCCCTTTGGTTTCCTTTCCGCCATTTTGACATTATATTGGCATCCACGTTTTCACCTCTTGGCTTGACCTCTGAACCTTCCACAAATCCCCATAAATCCTCACCCATGAGGAACCATCTCATATGCCTTTTCCATTCATTATAATTGGAACGGCCTAACTTGGGAAAATCGAAAGTTCTAAGTGCCTGACCTTTCGTATTTGACATCTTGATCAACACAAAGTAACAATCAAAATATCAATCCAATTTGCACAGCGTCTTGCAATCGCTCTGGGCCCATAACCTGTTAAAAATACTTCAAGCCAGAAGGAAAACCATCTATAAACCTTTTAACTTCAACACAAGTAATGTATATTCCTTCATATTTACGATTAACGTGGATATTAAAAAGTTTCAACAACCATGTGCAGGTTAGGCCATACATCAATCTAAAAACGAAAACAACAACAACAACATTAAGAGAGCTGATACTGCTCAATAAATTGTTCAGTTTTTCTTATTGAATTCTAACAAAAGTAACCTCCGCACCCACTCTAGTTAGCAAAAACAATCAATCCTTTGAGGAAATAAAGTTTTTATTGGTGAAAATACAGGTTGTATTGTGGTAGGAGGTCAATAAGCAAAATCATGCCTGACTTTAGATCTATGATTCGCCGCATGGGTAGAAGTTTTCAGAAAAAGTAATTAAAGCATGTTCTATTAAAAATGTGTAGAATAGCGTTTCACATGCCCTGTACCAAACAGCTAATTTGAGTCTTTATTAAAAGTCACTGTCACAATTTCACAATTTCAAATTCACAAAGCAAGTAACTATCTTTGCCACAACAAGCAATTAAAATTTGGTGCTCTGCGTTTTTGCCCTTAGATACTGTATGTGAAAGGTTCAAAGATTGTTGTATCAGTTAAGGTTGGAAACTTTATAACGGTTTCCATTCCAAAAAGCAACTCAATTATAGGAAGCAGAACTTTGGTTAAGGGCCTAGCGGATGCTATGCAACTACTGGTAAAGCATCAAAAGTGTACCGGCATTATCGGTACAAAGTGACAGGATACCTGTCTCTGGTCGAAAAGGGCAAAAAGCTTAAAAAATACTGCTTGTGCATTGCAACCAACCTTAACCAAATAGGAATTAATGAGCATGTTCATGCTTTAAAAATCTCTCGCACATTTCCTGTGCACACAGATTCTGCATACAGAAACTTTAAAGTAGAGGAAAATAGAGTGTGATGACCTTACAAATTCTAAATAATTATTTTACATACTGAAATTTCAACATTGCCTTTATGAAGATCATCTCTATTTGCAGAAAATTGGTCATCTTGGAAGCAAAGATGCTCTGCACAGTATTTATTTCCTTTAGCTGGTAACATTCTACAATTTCTCCTTTTTCTTTTTACATAAAACCCACATCTTTCTCTATCAACTTTATCCTTTTGAGACAAGGAATTCTCACCGTCTTGAACGTCCATGTTGTATTTAGAAAAACAATGACCGGCCAGTAATTGAATTGCATTATTTTGCCTCTATTGGCTCTTCTGTCTCTCGTGCTCTCAACCTCGCGCTCAACCATTGATTAAAAACAGTTTTTCAGGCTGCATGTCCTTAATTGTTACGAAAATCTGAGACTGGGTTGTTCTTGATTTGTTAATTAGGTTTAAATAGTGCAATTGCTACCCTGGGTTCCAGAGCGTCAGTGTCGAGGAAATAGGGCGTCGAGTAA